GGGAAGGACTTATTTGGGTTGAGTTTGTTGTTGGGGTTATAGATATGAAGACCCTGAGCGTCAACACCCAGTAAAAGGTCTGTGTCCCTCTTATTTTGCTGTTGATGTGAATCGTCATGACAGAAACATTAAAGGCTTAATGCTTTTTATACCAGCTGGGAATATTGATATTACGTTACAGTCCCCAACACTCACAGTAATGGCAAAGTAGCTAACACCGTACATTTCTAGGTCCTGAGCAATCTTTAGGTATTCCATCTCAGCTTCATCTCTGAACAAAAGAAGAGGATGTCAATCAACCAAAGCCTGACAAATGGAACTAAGACTTACAAAGTTGTTTGTGTTCGGTTGGTCCTACCTGGCGATTCCTCTGTGTTCGGCGTACCAAGCTGTGATCTTCTCCTCCCACATGTCTGCTGTCATTTGGTACTGCATTAGAACCTGATATAAAGCAGGAAAACAATGACTAATCTCAAAGCCAGGCCTACAAATTAGCCCAATTTCACTAAAACTTGGATCTAGTTTGTTTGCTTACCCTTTTTGGCAACAGTTCATCTTGTGCAAGAAAGCCGGGCTTGTGAAAGTTTGGGTCATAGTCTCCATACTTGGAGGAAGAGACATGATGTTTTAATGTTGATGTAGATATGCTTTATTGTTAACCAATATAGATATATGGTTATTAAACATATATTAAGATTAAATGTGTGATAACAAAAGAAAACAGAAAGCAGTTTAGCTTTGTCCTACCTTTGCCTGGACAGCATATGATGCCAAAAGGACTGAGGCCTCAGGGGAACAGAAAATCTCTTCATCTAATATCTGTTTCTTTACCTAAAATAAAAGTTTGAAAAAGTTTTTTCAATTACACATAAAGATCACCATATTTTAATAAACGTAAAAAAAAAATTGTAATCACTTCACTGACAAAACATGTTCAACTAAATTGTTAAGTGTTGCTACCTGTAAGAAAAACAGGTGTTGTGTAATTTCTTGGACCAGTTCCTCTTCGACTTTTTCAGGGAAGAATTTCGCTAAAAAGTGGAACGTTATGGGGGAGTCCTTAGGAACCTCATGGTCCAGCACCTTGGAGGAAAAAAGAAATGAAAAAAAAAAAGAAACAAACAAAATGTTCATTCATATATTGGAGTGAAGAGTTAGAGGAAAATCCCAATCGGTGAGACTTTATTCAAACAGAGGATGCCCATTGCTCACCCGTTTCTCAGGTTTGAGCCAGGCGTAGGTGTCCTTCACCGTGTACCGGAGTCCGAAGAACCAGGTCTCCCTCAAACCAACTGTGCGACACACCAGGTCAAACAGGTCTTTACCCTTCCATTTGACCTGAGACAACCAGAGCAAGGGGATAAACATGCAAAGATCTGAAGAACAAAGCATTTCTGACAACATTCTCAACACTAAGCAGCAAATACATGTATCCTACGACCAGGGGCGCTCCTGCCCTCTGCAGGAAAGATTAGGTGCAACACTGATCTTTTTGTTTTAAACACCTATCTTGCACTTAACTTAAGAACTTTACAAGGACAGAAAAAAGTATATGAAGTCAAATAAACCTTAACAAAAAGCTGGTACAAGTTTGATTGATCAGAGACACAGAAAAGGAAAATCTATCTATCCTGTGCAAAATTATTTTAAACTGATGACAGCACACTAAAGGAGATCCAATTTTTTTAACCAACTCCTAATAATTCTCACATTTTAAGGTTATGATGGATAGACAGACTGAGGATTGTATCTTTAACCACAGAGACTAATGACTCTAAATGCTATTCAGACTGTAAAATTCCACCTTTAACTGATCATAAAGCTAAATGAGTCAGAACCTGTGTAGACACCAGTCTGCTAAATACTTCCCTGGGGGCAAAGCTGACTAATCTGTCATGTTTTAGGAGGTATGAGTTATTTTGTTTCACTGGTTGTCATAACTAAGAAAACTTGTGCACATCATGAGCGCCTCTGTGCAACATAAAACTATTTACACAACCTTCAACTCTGCCATCCACAATGTTCCTGAATGTAATAATTTAGGATATTATACAACAGACTGACACAAAATAATGGATCTCTCTGAAGCTGAAGGAAAATGAAACATAGTTTCTAAGGTTGTACAATTTATATTTAACTTCTTTTTGTAGTTTTATCCAACTGCCTGCAGCAGTCACATATACAGGACATAGATTCCATCTGTTTGTAATTTATTGCTTGTATAGTTTTATATTAAATCACGATCAGTTAAACTAAACATATTTATCAAACACCCCCAAATGAAACATGCACATCAACAAAGTCAATATAGCTACTCTGACAGGCTTGCAAAGGAGATGATCGATCAGAGAAGCAGCTTAAAGGTAACATAGCGAGCTAGATTCTCAGGTTTAGTTCTGCACTAAAGTTGTTCTGACTATGTTATTAGACATTATAATTTTCTGATTATTTCTTTATCTAAATACGCAAAATCAAACTAACTGAAAACGGGACAGAGATTTATTTTTTCATGAAAAGTGCACAGCTTCACTAGAGGAAACAATTTTCCTTATTTTTGTTGTTTAATATTTTGTAGTAGAAATTGCATGTTTGTTTTAGTTTGGCTGTGAATTAAGCAGCTCTGTCATGCCTTAAACTAGAGGAGAGCAGGGTCAGCTAAAAGGTCTAGAATCTGCTTAAGTACCTCTTTTTGGTATCCATCGTCGCTAACACATTGTACGTAACGGTTATGGTTTTAATCTACGCTCTGGATTACCCATAATTCCAAGACGTATTGTACAAAATAAAATACTCAAATACGTTGTTCTTTTAAGAACTTTATTGCGATTTGAAACATATTATATTAGTGTATTTTTTTACCAGCCGTCTAATGAACTATACACAGTTATTAACATAGTAATTAAAAGTACCACTGTCTGCTTCGGCTCACCATCATGGTGAAATCTGCCATGTGCTGCGGTATAAATACGGTTCAGTCAGTCAATTTAATATCAGGTGGGTTTTAGAGGAATTTTTCACACCATTACATCTGCAAAGGGACGTCCTAGTCCACAATTGCGTTGGGGGCCTACCAGGTGTCAGTGACGGGGCCCCTAAGAGGTTGGGGGCCCCTAAGCCACTGCAGTCTCTACTTACTGATAGTTACGCCAGAACAAAGACAGAACAAATATTACTTCTGCACTCAACAACCCTGATCTTTATGTGTAAGAGGTAGAAAGATGAACCATAATGGAGTCATGATGGGGGATGGTTTACTTTAGCGAAGAAAGGAACACTAATCAGAATTATTTGGGAAATGAATAGAGATAATTACTGGGTAATAAATACAAGAAAAAACAATTTCAAGGCTATTTTGTGCTTTTCTATCAAATAAAGTTTTAATAAAGTTAATGAATGTTAGCATATGCCTAAAGCTAATATTATCCTCCAGAACTGCAGCTCATCTGTCTACTGTGTGATAAATATAAACATGCTATTTTATGTTTTGAATAAACCAGTACATATATGATTAGATATTTAGAGCTAACCTCACAGCTGAACTCCATCTCAGCATCCATAGTGATGACTTTAACTTTAAAAGTCTTTGGCTGTTTCTTCTTCAACCCCAGGATGGACATTTTGATGTGATTCTAGATTGGACAGCTGTGGAAATAAAAGAGGTTTCCTAAGAGGGACATCATAAAAACCACATCTGAAGAGTAACAGCATCAAGAAAACAATTAATTGTGTTAACTTTCTTCATATAAAGCATCCTGAATTCAAAGTTTCAGTTAGTTTTACACATCAATAGAAAGAGCAGCTTAAAGGTGAGGATATAAAAGAAGAGGAGGCCCTATTACCGGGGAGTAGAGTTCAGCTTCTGCCGTCCAAAAAGGATCAGAGGAGGCTGGGCTTTTGTGTTTGTGTTGGTTGGAGCTTCCGATGCTAAGCTAACTTTTCTCACTAAACTGCGTTTTCCCCCCTCCCAACGGTTAAGACACGAAAACAGTCCACAACAAGTTATAGCAGCATTGGAGCCTTAGAAAGGCCTCCATAATGATTATGTACCCGAAGTTTTGATAAAGTTTGGGGGAAAGTTTCAAACTGTCGTGTTTTAGCTAGTTAGCAGGCTATTCAAAATCAGAAGGACTTTCCAGAAGATTTTTGTTTTGACTCCCAGTTACTCTAAAGGCGGGGGCAGGAAGAGTCAGGAATAACGCCATGGCGCCTGTGTCTGCTTCAAGGCTGTCGGAAATATCAGTCTCAATAAATGTAGCGTTAAACACTGAAGCGAAATATAGTATTTTCCGAAGCGGACCTAACTGGTTAATGATCTATTAAAAACATAAAGATGTATAAGGAAGTTTAAAGTAGTGTTGACAAGTGGAGGCTGTTTGGTAATGTGAGTGACAAATATTGGAACGTCGCTCAACCTGACAGTTTTTACTGAGGGAAAAATCAAAATCCTATATAGTTTGTGCGGCTATGAGAGGAAGTAATTTTTTCAGAAATCTTCAAAAGATCAAGAAAACCAAAGGATAAGATAACTACTTCAAATACAATTTAAATATATATATATATATATATATATATATATATATATATATATATATATATATATATATATATATATATATATATATATATATATAATGAAATTTTTACAATGACATAATTCTGATTAATACTCCATAACAACCGACATAAATAAATAAATAAATAAATAAATAAATAAATAAATAAATAAATAAATAAATAAGAAGAGGAAGATCTGCGACGAGATAAGAAAATAAAGCTCTTAAAAAGCATGCGTTGGTGTGTGTGTAAGCAAGTGTGTTCCCCCCAGCCTCCCTCTACTAAAGTGTCTGCTTCAAGGCTGTCGGAAATATAAGTGTCAATAGATGTAGCGTTAAACACCGACGCTAAATAATGATATTTTTCCGAAGCAGAACTAACTGGTTAATAATCTATTAAAAACACAAAGATGTATATGGAAGTTAATACTAGAGTTTACACCTGAGGTCTGTTTGCTCATATGAATAAAAGTTGTATTGGAACGCCGTTCACCCTGACAGTTTTTACTGAGGGAATAGCCCATAATCCCATATAGCTTGTGCGGCTACGAGAGAAAATATTTTTGTCAGTAAAAGGTCAAGAAAACTTAAGGGTAAGAGAATTACTTCAAATACCATTAAAAAATTAAACAAAATGTCTTTCTAAAATAAGATTTCCGATTCATACTCCATTACAGAAGGTGGCGGTAATATACCTGTATGCTCTTTCTCAACAGCCATTAAAAAAAAAAGAATAACAAAAGGAAGATTTGCGACGAGACAAGTAAAATAAAAGGAAATCTTATGAATAAGCAAAATTTAGAAAGCATGTGTTGATGTATATCTAAGCATGTATTCACACCAACCTCACTCTACTAAAGCGGACTTACTTTTAACTTCACACTAAATCTATTATGGTGCAATAGACAGGAGAGGTTACACAATTTTCCTGCAGCATGGCATGAACCAGAATAAAATAAAACAAACAAAATAATCAAGCATCTATTTGCTAATGCATTATACACTGCAGATGTACTGATCATAAATTGAATGCAGAAAGGCATTATAGTCAAAGTATTGCCACTTTTACTTCCGGAGATTAGACCACATGTTTTACTCTCCATAGCATCACAATAGGAGCATAACAATCTGCTGTCGCACACGTGTCACTTTATCGCTTATAATACCATTTAAAGAAGACACTCCTTCATTATTAATACTGATGAAACTGCTCATTTGTTGTTAAGCAAACTCACCAAGTTCTCTCATGTTATTATAGCAGAACATATTAGTTCAGAAGCTGTAAAACTTCATTACAATTACTGTGTTTACTTGATTCTGTTTATGTTTTTAAGAGCAAAATGAAAACCATTTGTTTAAGAACGCATTTTAATTCTACTAGATTACAGCTGTTTTTTATAACACGGAGTATTAGGGCAAGGCTATAGATTTTTTCTTTTATTTTGAGAATAAAGTTGTAAAATAAAGTAAGAGCAAAATTATAACTTAACATAATGTTCGACATTCCTCATTTTAGGCAAGAAAGTGTTTCTTATAGGAGTTTTTATAAAATACTACTTGTTTCTAGTAATTTTAGGACATTTTTCTCTTAATTTTATGACTTTATTCTCTTATTTTTATGACTTATTCTTGTAATTGTATTACTTTATTCTCGTTGCAACTTTATTCTCTTAATTTTACGACTTTATTCTTGTAATTTTATGAATTTATTCTCGTTGCAACTTTATTCTCTTCATTTTATGACTTTATTCTTGTAATTTTGGATTTATTCTCATTGCAAATTTATTAACTTAATTTTACGACTTTATTCTAGTAATTTTACGACTTTATTCTCTTAGTATTAAGACTTTATTCTCGTAATTTTATGACTATTGTCGTTTTGACTTTTTTCTCGTAATATTGCGACTTTATTCTAATAATTTTAAGAATTAATTCTCATAATGTTACGACTTTATTCTTGAAATAGAAAAAAAAAATCTAGTTGGTCCTAATTCTCCATCCTAGTTTTATGACCATGTCTTTTGTGAGTTTAAATGTATTTTTATTTTTATTGTAATTTTGTAAAGTACTTTGTGACGTCTATGTCTGTGAAAGATGCTATATAAATAAACATTACTTACTTACTTACACTTGGTATGTCATAATAGTGATAACTAACCATAGCCAACTAAAACTATAGAGTTCTCACTATCCGGAAAACTTTGCTATGTTTGATCTGATGTTTTGTAAATAATCCTAATTTAATTGATATAGTTTCTAAATTTTCTTTGTTTCCTTTTTTAATTATTAATTTCTTCAACAGGTCTTTATAATGTCTGCCGACAGTGAAGCATTTGAAAGAGTAAAATCTGTCCTTTTGTCAGCTCATAAAAGCACCACATCAGATGAGAAGGTCAGCTTCTACAACTGCTGGGCAGAAAACTATGATCGGGTGAGAAAACAGACATTGGACGGGTGCTTTTTCTCTCTCTTTTATGTTCCAAGAATAACAGCACTCCTTAAATAAATCTGTAGCTTCTTTAAAATTCTACATTCAATGCAAAATGTCAAGTGTTAACAAATCATCCAAACATTGTCATGCATACTGTTTTTCAAATTTCCCTTGGTGGTAGTCTTGTTATTTTTCTGCAGGCCGTTATAAATGAAAGCTATAATTTATTTCTGTAAGCAGATGTTTTATATTTGTAGCTATACTCCTTTGTTTAATCTTTTTTTGGAATGTCTGCTGATGCATTCTGTATTTTTTATTTTTGACTTTTAAAAGGAGAAGACCTTTACAACATAAATGACTCAGGAAAATTGTAATTTATGTAAGATTTGCTGAATAGTCTGTTTTCAAAACAAGTTTTTTAAAAGTTTTTCAAAAGTGCTTTACAATGTCAAGCAGTGTTCATCATTTATACACACTGCTGGTCGGGCAGGCAGGAGGTTGGCACCAGGGAGTCCAAGACAACAGACGAGGGTGAGGGTCCAGATAATCAGACGAGAAGCTGGGGGGGAGAGAACAGGCAGGTTTAGGAGAGGGAACCAACTTGGCTTAGTCAAAACTAGACGTGAGCGGACAAAAGGCCTGAGAGTGTTTACCACTAGGAGTTAGACAACAATCTGACATGTTAATGAACTTTGTTCTCCGCTAAGCTTTATGTGTTTCTACCAATGTTGCAATGATATCAGAATCAGGCAGGACCCCGATACTGCACTAAAATGGTTGTATCGGTATTGGCAAGTACCAACAAATAGGGCACCTATACCATTTTGAGAGCCAAAAGTTTATTCAGCTATTGCCATCCATTCCAGGTAGGCAATAAAAAGTTCTACTGGATTCACTTTGTATTAGTCTTTTTCCTGCTTCACAAAGGTGACAGCTTGGCAGCTTGACAAAGCCATGATGGCAATTATTTTACATCCAAGTAGTATGCAGTTCTTCATATACACACACATCAATTTCAAACAGATGGTATCGGCCAATACTGCACAGCCAGGTATCGGGTATCAGTATCGGGGGCAAAAAATGGCATCAGCACAACACTAGTTGCTACTATCTTTTTTTTTTTTTTTTAAGGATGTGGCTGTTTTGGAGTACAGTGCACCAAGTGTGGCAGCAAAGTGCATTGCAACCCATTTCAGCGGTGTAAGAGAAGCAGCAGTTGTGTTGGATGTGGCATGTGGTACAGGACTGGTGGCCAAACAAGTAAGTAGTTGCAACACTGATCTGTTAGAATGAGATATAAAGAAATTAAGTAGACTTTAGTAAACTATTTTGTTAGAAGGAAAAGTTTGAAAAAAAGACTAGAGTATCTTGGTTGTTGAGGCAATTATCAGCTCAACCTGAACATTAATATTTGCTTATTTGGAGACCAAAATTAAATCTGCATTAAATAACTGTTGATAGGGAAAGAGCTGCAGGTTAGAGGAACGCTCTCATCTTTTGCAAGATAAAAATAGCCCATTTTATCAACTCATTAAAGGGAAACACCTTCGACAGCACTGAATGTTGAATTAAATCAAAAGCTTTTAGATTAAAGTGTGTAACACTGAATTTACATTGCGTCTATCTCCCCTCTGGTGCAAAGCTCAACAGTGCTCGAACAATCCTGTGCAGATAGCTCCATAAAAGCCAAATCGACTTTATTTATGATGCACTCTTTATAACAGCGGACGCAGACCAAACATGCTGGAAAAAGGAAAGAGCAATTACAATAAATAGATTATCTATATATTTGGGAGTTAAACCAAAGCAACTGATTATGGGAGATTTTAAAACAATTGAAACTGCTTCACTTTAACTTTTTTAGTATAAAAACCACTTCAGGAGTTATATTCTGCAATGGATAATCACGGCGAGTGCAGATAAGCTTTAGTTGTTTCTGATTTTAATGCATTTAAGTTTGTTTTCTTTTTTATCATGTTTTGATTACCTCGGTCAACATATGCAAATTATTCTAATGTGTTTCTAATATACACAGAATTTTATTTGTAACTTAAGAAATATGTTGAAATCCGTAAGATAATTTAGAAAGTACTCGAGTTGAGGGGGAATGAGCGGGGATGTCATCCCCCTTCTTAAAAAAAATCTTAAATATCGTCCTCCTTCTTAAATAGCCATCCCCCATACCATCCCCTGTGACATTATATTACTGAATGTGTAATATTTCCACCATATTTTAACAGTAAAAGCAATAATATTGCCTTTTCAACATTTGGCAATGTGTTGGCTAAGGAGTAGCCTGAGCAAAATAAATAAAATCAAAGAAGTGTCGTACCATGACTATGAAGCTGATCCCAGTGGGAAATTAGTCCTCTGCATTTGTCCCTAACTATGTAGGGGCAGTTATAGCCATGTCAGTCCAGGGACTGACTGCAGTTCTACTGTAAGATGCCTTGGACAAGGTCAATGACCGGCGTACCTGACATGTAACAACCGCACCATGCATATGTCTTTAGGTTAAGAGACTATATTAATTAGGCTGTTTGCTTTCAAAAAAGAAAGAAATCCACCAGCCCCCCTTTTTAACAACTAGACTACTGGATATAGTTAATCTTAAGTGATTTGTTTAAAAAATTAAAATGTGATTGCATAGACTTCTGTTGGTGTGGCTTGATATCTGTAGAAGGCTTTGTTATGTTCAATTGCACTAGCTGACCATATGCCTTACTAGCAGACTGTGCAGAGCCTTTGAAAATGCTCTTTTTTTTTTTTTTTTTTTTTTTACATTTCGTGAGGAGTTTGCAGCGGAACAGAGAAGGATACACTATAATTTGGGTGTTAATGGATAATTACACCTTTCTCTTTTTGGTTACATTCTTCACTCCAGTAAATTTTCCTCTTTTTTTCTCCTCTTTTTATTTTTTTATTTTATTTTTCAGGGGTATAATGCCAAATAAATGAGAATAACTAATTTTATGAACGTTTATGACAGCTTTAAAACCTGCCTTGTAAACAGTAGTTTATCAAGTTTTCATACAATGAATTCCATAAGTGTCTCCACCACTTTTGAAATGTAGTAAGTATATCCAATTTTATTATTTGTTTATTAATGTTCTTCTTGATAGGAAGTTATTTGTTGGAGATCCCTTTATTTGAACATATTTTCAGCAAATATCAAAACATTTAGAATGAAGATTTTTCCTTTTTTAGGACAGTTACTTATACCAGTATGACCAATACACAAATATGTCTTTGTTAATCAGATGAAAAATCTTGGTTTTGGAAATTTTGTGGGGGTGGATGGAAGCAAGGCCATGCTGGACAAGGCGAGAGAGAGTGGGTTGTACCAGGACTTGAAGAGTTGCCTGCTTGGAGAGGAGCCTCTACCCAAACAGTGGGGTATAAACCTAAATCCGGTCATATCGTTAATCTCTGTGACCTATAGAAGGATCCCTACTTCCACTGCTTTCAGCTGATTTATATGTTAATTATTTTCCGATGTTTAAAAACACTTAAATGTAAGCATGAAAGTCTGAAACAGGGACAATGTCCTTTTAAGCTAAAACCGTCTCTTTTCTCACCTCCAGCAGATAGATTTGATGTGGTTGTGATTGTCGGAGCATTAAGTGTTGGTCAGGTCCCCTTTGATGTCATAAGAGACCTCTGCAATGTAACCAGACCAGGTCAGAGCTTTGTTTTCTTTCTTTCTTATTCAAGTGGTTATATATAAATACCAATGTTAACATGCTATTGCTCAGTTTACATTAGGTAAGACAAACCATGCTGCACTTTACTGCACCGTTTCATTCTTCCACTAGGTGGCTGTATTTGCATGACAACAAGAAGTAACCATCATAACCTGAAATACAAAGCTTCCCTGGAGAGAGAGATGAGGCAGATGGAGGAAGAAGAGCTCTGGACTTGTGTAGAGATCACGGATGTCGACAACTGGGAGAGAGCTGTATCTGAGCAAGAGGAGGGCTACATATCTGGAGCTGTGTACCTCTATAAAAAACTAGAACATTAAAGGTATAGTGGAGGATTTTCACAAATTTTTGGAAAGACCAGCCCTCTCCACTTAGAAAAAAAATGCATATGCACAACCCTGGACCCACTCCCAAGAGGGAACGCCTATTAAACGTGTGCAAGAGCATGTACGAGCTCATTTCTCCTTGTAAAAGCTCTGTTTAAAAGTTGCTGTTTGCATCACTCATTCAAGCTTACTTTCCAATTGCAATTTTTCCACTATGTCAGACTCACCACAGTGTTATGCAGAGAATTACCTGCCTGTCGAGAATTACCTCCCTTCTCGCAAACTGATGAGAAAATGGATTTAAATAAGAATGAAAAGGGAACTTTTAAACATATTCTTAATATTTTTATATTTCTTATGCATGGATGCCCTAGAATTGTTTTTGGTGGACAGATAAATGCCAAGAGATTCCTGCCTGTCGAGAATTACCTCCCCTGTTGCAGGAGAGTGCATCACCCTAAACTCTTACACACTGATGAGAAATCAGATTGAAATATACCGTAGATGAAAAGGGGAACTTTCAAACTTTTCTAAATGTTTTGCCAGAAATTATATAGAATGTTGTTGATATCTGAAGCAGCAACTGCTATCACTGAGCACAGAGTATATTCATTGAATACTGACTGTAGCACATCTAATAAAAATCATTTTAATTTGACTTTATCCATTCACCAAAACTAAATATTAGGGCATCCGTGCATGAGAAAAATTTAAACATTAAGAATTAATTTCAATCCGTTTTCTCAGAGGGTTAGGTGAGAATGGGGACGAGCATGTAGGATGGCCTTAAGTAAAAATATCACCAGAATAATTGACAATTAGGAGGACCACTTAATTTTATGATGCACCCGGAAAACGAACATCCACTACCAGTGGCGCCCAAAGTACTGTTGAACAGGGGGTGCTGTGACAATCTGTTTTATTTTTTGGTTGTTTTTTTTTTTGGGACAAAAGACCTATGAGCCCATTGGCCTATTTAAAATACAATCAAATTAAATAAGTAAATAGGTAGAGATTCACTACTTTGTTGTCATTGTTATGTTTCTTTCCATAACTTAACTATATAGAATTAACAGAACCTCAGTGGAACATGACTTTGTTTTTATTCAACATATTTCCCAGAACACAATAAGATCAATGTGCTGATACCATATTTGGTGTTTCCACATAAAATAGTACCATTGAATAATATATTGTTTTATCCCATACATAACAGTTCCTCCCATCCAGCTTTGACGAACCAAAAATATACTTAGCAAAATGTGGTAATCCAATAACCTGGCTCAAACAGAAACATAACATCTCTTTAGATATTTGCAGCACAAAAACAGTTATCTACTCTTAACATTTAAATTGCTTCTGTTATAAAGGAACAGATGATCTACAAATTCAGTCTCTGAGGTGCTCTGCGATTTCCCTCAGGATAACGTCTACTTGTTCGACCAGAGTCTATGGTGTTCTGTGTGGAAGGTTCAGCTGTTGTCACACTGGTGGATTGACCCGAACCCTGAACCCCAGGAGATGTGGCAAAAGTAAACTCTTCTGAATCTCGAAATGTAGATGTGTCCTCAGGTTGCTCCAGATTTTTGTGAGTCTCCTCATCTAGGATCTGAGCTATGCCAGATTGAGTTATCTCCAACATTTAGATTGTATGTCAGAGGTCCTGTCTGTGACAGAATTGTGCCAGACTGCCATGGTGAGAACTTTTTGTCCAATGTTAAAAGATCTGGTTTTGTTCCCTCTTGTTTCCACCGGAAAAGGCTGTTGGTCCTCAACATTCTTCCGAATGTCAGGTTTCAACAGATCCAAACGAGATCTCCGATTTCTTCCCATGAAAAGCATTGCAGGCGTTTGTCCAGTTGTTGCATGAACAGTGTTTCTGTAAGCCAATAAAAAGTTGTCGATTTCAGTTGCAGAGGTCTCCCCTCTGTCCGGCTGGCTTTAATGGACCTCTTGAATGACTGAATGAACTGTTCAGCTTGTCCATGCGTTGCAGGGTGATACAGGGCTGAAGTGATATGTCGTACACCGTTGTTCTTAAGAAAACACTGGAACTCTTCTCTAGTGAACTGACGACCATTGTCACTGAAAAGCTGATGAAGCAGGCCTGTGCGGGCAAAAGTGACCTAAGGGCATTGATTGTGCTGGCTGTTGTTTCATGCTTTACAGGAAAAAAATTCTTGCCACTTTTAGTGAGCATCCACCACAATCAAGAACATTTGGTCCATAAATGGTCCAGCATAGTCTATGTGGATGCGTTGCCAGGGGGTGGATGGCCCTCCCACCTGTGCACAAGTGCTGGTTGGGGCTGGCGCAGTGTCTGCGGGCAACCAATGCAGGACTTAGCCATGTCCTCTATTTCACAGTCAATGCCTGGCCACCAAACATAGCTCCTAGCAAGACCTTTCATCTTAACCACCCCCAAATGTCCATCATGAAGTGAATTCAGCACCCTTTTACGTAGTAGGGGCGGTATTAAGACACAGGTTCCCCATATTACACATCATTGGCAAACTGATAGCTGGTCTTTGCGGCTGAAGTATGCAGAGAACTGAGTGTCAATGGAACATGGCCAGCCATTCACAGTAAAATCGTACACTTTGGACAAGATTGTGTCCCGACTTGTTTCTCTTTTTACCTAAGCACTTGTCACAGGTTCCATTTGTGAAATGTGAAACACAGTTTCTGGATCAGTAGTTTCTTTAGTGGTTTAAAGTTTGTGGAAGGCGTGAAAGTCCATCTGCGTTTCTGTGCAGTTTTGTCCCTTTAAATTCAATGTTGTAGGTGTGTGAGCCAAGGAACAAAGCCCATCGCTGTAACCGTACTGCAGCCATGGTTGGCACACCTCTCTGAGGGTTAAAGATGGACACCAGTGGTCGGTGGTCTGTGACCAGGGTGAAGTGTCTTCTGTATAAATATTAATTGAACTTCTTCACTCCACACACTAGATTTAGTGCTTCTCTGTCTATTTGAGCATAATTACGCTCTGCTGCATTCAGGGACCTTGAGGCAAAAGCAATTTGTCGTTCCACTCCATCAGGCATTCCATGAGATAGCACAGCATAGATGCCGCATGGAGATGCATCACATGCAAGGCGAAGAGAAATATTTGAGTCAAAGTGTGTTAGCACCTCATCTGATGTAATGAGCTGCTTAGCACTATTAAATTATTTTTCAGTCTTTTGTCCAGTTCCACTTGACATTTTGTTGCAACAGTGCATATAGCGGGTACAGAGCTGTTGACAGGTTCGGTAGAAACTTGTGATAATAATTAATTAAGCCTAAAAATGAGCACAATTCACTGACAGTTTTAGGCTCTGGTGCCTTCAAGACTGCTTCAACTTTGTCTTTGGTTTTGTGGAGTCCATACTTGTCAATGCGATGTCCACCATACTCAATGGCATCTTTAAAGAACTCACACTTTTTCCTGTTTGCTCTCAGTCCATATTTTTCTAACCTTGCCAGGACAGCTGCTAGGTTAGCTAAATGTGTTTCTTCATCAACACCTGTGACAATAATGTCATCCAGAAAACATTGTGTTCCTGGAACGCCCTCTATAACCTGATCCATGGCCTGATGCCACACTGCAGGAGCACTGGCGATACCAAATACCAGTCCGTTGTATTGAAATAGGCCTTTGTGAGTATTTATCACTAGATATTTCTTGGTTGCCTCTTCCACTTCCATCTGTAGGTAAGCTTGGGCAAGGTCGATTTTTGAAAAGTGTTTGCCACCCGCCACTGCAGTGAATATGTCTTCTGTCCACGGAAGTGGGTACTGATCTACGCAGAGTACTGGGTTCATTGAAACCTTAAAATCACCACAGATTCTCACGCTGTCACCTGTTTTCTTGCTCACTGACACTATTGCCCAGTCTGACCATTCCACCTTCGTGAGTATTCCTTGCTCTTCCAAGTGTTGCAGCTCTGCTTCAACTTTAAGCCATATAGCATATGGTACAGGACGAGCCTTGTGAAATCTGGCTTTTGCATCATCAGCCAGTATAATCTGTGCTCTAATATTTTTCAGATTGCAAATTCCTTCTTTGAACACAGGAGCATGTTCCTCAATTATTTGTTTCAGTCTTTCCTCCACAGAACTCTCATGGATTTTATTTCTTTCCAGTTGAGTTGGAAGTGCTTCCACCAGTCTCGTCCAAATAATGGGACACCTCCATTTTTCAGAACATAAAGTTCAAGGTTGCATTTGTTTTTCTCATATTCCACTTTCAATTTTATTTTTCCCAAGGGACTTATTCTTTCACCTGTGTATGTTTTTAGTTTCACTGAGGTGTGCTTTAATTTCAGATTTGGGAACTTCTCTCTGTAATCATCATATGAGATCAGTGAAAGGGCTGACCCAGTATCCAGTTCCATCTGTAAAATAACCCCTTGTACTTTAGTAGTGAGCGATATAGCATCTTTATATTTCTCCTTGCTTGTATTGTATAAAGCTCAAGGCATGCCAAATGCTCCTGAGAAGAAGCTGATTCTGTCTCATTTAATTTATGCAGCTTCCTGTCTTTGTTCCATGTTTTGTTTTTCTTAAATTGTTTTGATCTGCACATTTTCTGTATATGCCCCTTTTTGTTGCACTGGAGACATTCTTTATCCTTAAACCAGCAATTAGCAGCATTATGTGATTTTTTGCCGCATCTTTAACAGGTCTGTAATTTATCCTTAGGCTGTGCACGCATTTTTTTGACAGAACACGGCTCCGTGAATTTTCCCTGAAGCTCTCCTGCATCTTTTGCTGCAGTTTCCATTGATATAGAGGAATCGTTTCTGTGTGCTTTCATTATGCAGCCCGCAGACAAAACGGTCTCTCAGCGAATCTGACAGCCCCTCCCCGAACTGACAGTGCTCCGACAGCCGCAGAAGCTCCGCGATGTACTCCAAAGTGGACTTGGTTTTTAACTGATTCCGTTTATAAAACCTGAATCGTTCGGCTATGACAAGGGGCTTTGGTTGGAAGTGTTTTTGGTGAACCTCTGTGATCTCCTTAAAACTTTTGCCTGCTGCTTTGTCTGGTGTAATGAGGCAGCGCAGCAAGTTATACGTTTTCGCCCCCATTACGCTCAGTAACACAACAACTTTCCTCTCATCCTCTACTTTGTTAGCCAGGCAGTACTGTTTAACTCGCTTCACGTATGTTGTCCAGTCCTCTGTGCCGTTTTCACAACTGTTCATTTGTCCAACGCATCACAACATTTTTCGTGTGGTGCTCGTTACTCATTTTCTCTCTGTAGGTCGTTAGTTAGCAAGCCACATTAGTGTCCAGAAGGATGATTTTTTTTCTCCTTTTCTTATCTTTCTGTCACTTCCAATAGGCTTTCCCCCTCTCTGTCGTTACATGCACATCGGGGATCCGTTTAAACCTCGTTGCCAGTTTTTTCTTTCCAAAACGTAACTATATAGAATTAACAGAACCTCAGTGGAACGTGACTTTGTTTTTATTCAACATATTTCCCAGAACATAGTGAGATCAATGCGCTGGTACCATATTCCGTGTTCTTCCACATAGAACACAAAATAGTACCATTGAATATATTGTTTTATCACATACATAACAGTCATATACACTTCAGTGCACGCAACCAGAGTCCGTATCACACAGACATCTCAGTTGAATATATGTACTATTAACTAAACTTCACAATAACACTATAACAACGTATATTTGGTCAGCTTGCCTGAACCTGACTCGCTCTGTTTATGTCACACGTGACTCTGTTAGTTTTAAAATCCTTTTACGCAAACCACAAAGAAATAGTATTATTATACTATTTAAATGTTATTGAACAGTTCTCCACATCCATTAAACAAAGAATACAAGATCAAATAACACTCTGAAATACTATGGTTGCATTAAACTGTACAAATAGATATGAAAGTGCGCGGTAGCATCACGCTCTTACTTTCAGCTACAGGCAGGGTGCCCTGCCTAACAGGTGCTGAAATGTTCAGATGCGCTCTGAGGTCATGGAGATAAAGTCTCTCATAAGTGGA